AAAGTGCTTATGTTATGACTTACTGAGAGCAACCAAGATCAATCTCATTCTCATTCTCAAATATGAATGAATGATTCTCAAATCAACCAATTTCATTCTCAAATATGAAAGAGATTCTTATGGTGCTAGTGGGGGAAAAGAAGACTGGAAAAAGCAGGCTAAGGAACAGAACAAACTGATTCAGGCCACAGCACTGTACAGGAAGACAAATAGAAACTTCAAAGTTTATGAGAATTTATTGAGGTAGAGAGAGAAAAAAAGAAAGACATCAATATGAAAGTTTAAACTGATGCCAAGAGAAGGTAAAATTATGAATCTGAGGTACGTGACCTGGAAACAAGACACAGGTAGGTCTGGGGCCCAGAACAATGAACGGAAACCTCCAACACACGACCTGACACCTGCACAAGCTAGGCCGGACCCTCATACTTCACCGCATCCCCTTAAATGCCTCTCTAGCCAGGACCCATGTTTGTCTTCCAACCTAAGCACAACACCTGAAACATAGTGGAGTCAATAAATTGAATAAGAAATGCCAATACCCATTTCAAATTCGAAAGGAAGGAAACCTGGTATTTACCCACCTGCATAGAATTTTATTCTGTGTATTTTATTGTAAAAGAAAAACAGGCCGGGTGCGGTGGCTCACACCTGTAATCTCAGCATTTTGGGAGGCCCAGGTGGGCGGATAGCTTGAGTCCAGGAGTTCGAGACCAGCCTGGGCAACATGGTGAGACAAAAAATTTTGTAGAGACAGGAAACCCTGTCTCTACAAAAAATACAAAAATTAGACAGATGTAGTGGTGTGCGCCTGTGGTCCCAGTTACTTCGAGGCTGAGGCGGGGTGATCACCTGACCCCAGTTTGAGGCTGTAATGAGCCATGAACCCATGACTGCACTCCAGCCTGGGTTGACAGAGTGAGACTCTGTCTCTGACACACACACACACACACACACACAGAGTTGCTGCATGGTAACTATACACATGTAGGACATCACAGAAAACTAGAAGTGAATAGTTGGAAGCACTTCACAGATAGACTCACAGTGGAGAGTGATGGCTCAAGGCTAAAACTTTAGGAGAAAAACCAAGTCTTTGAGAAACGGCTAAAAACCAAGTTAACTAAAGTGGATCTTTCTGTCTGCAGATGCTCTGGCCATTTTCTTTTGTCTTTTCTTATTTTTTTATTATTATTTTTTTGGCTTTTCCAAAATCCCCTTCTTTCACCATTTTGAGTTGAAAAGTCAAGATAAATATTTATGCTGTAGAATAACCCACCTCCCTGCTACAGCAACCACAAATGTCACAGGTTCCTAAAGGCTCCAAGAATATTTGTTTTACAGCAAGAAGCAGTTGCTTTTTCTAAAAAAACACTCAATTTTCTTCTCCAGGATACACAACGGGTAAAAATCTAGCTGTTAACTACCAACCAGAGTTAGGGGAAGGAAAAGAATCCCTCCTTTTTCTCTCAACCAGTTTTCCTTTCTAACCCACTTCCTTTGCCAGCTGCTGATGAGGCATGTCTAATTTTGCAGAGTGATACTAGAACAGATGAGAGGCACTGCCAGCTCCTTCTTCCCCACTCCAAAGCACCTCCTGCCCTGAAATGCAACCTTTCACAACTGCATGTGTTACACGTCACAGTGAACAAGCCTTTAGGAGATTATTTTAAAATGACCAAATATACACCAGTAAGAGAAAACTTCTGAAAAACTGCTCTGCTATGCAGCCTGGGGCTGGAATAATGGCAACATATACGCAATTCCAAAAAGTACTGTGTGTAAATGGCTTAAAGTGAAGATGGCTCCACAAAAACTGACAGACAACTCAAAATTCTTTCAGTTCTCACAGTGATGCTGAAAAGATATGTGAAGAGTTGGGGGTAAAATCATATTTTACGATTTTCAATAATTAATAAATGTAAGTATACACTCTATTGTTTCACTTCTATCCTAATATATTGAAGAGTTAATCAAAATACTTCACAACTTCTCAAAGAAAATACAGAAATGTAATACTCTGAGAAATGGGATCCATTCAAATATAGTAGCTGAAGGCTACAGAGGGTCTAAAGGCGATTCTAGATTCAGACTGCTGAGAATCTTAAGACTCGCCTCACCACCACTACTAGCTGCTATACAACTAGGTTCCTGAAGCTTATCCACAGAGGAAGGTGACTGCCACCAGCCCGCGGTGAGATAAGGCTTAATGAGGTGTGGATGGTTCAAAGCACAAAGCCTGACACACAGGACTCAAACTGTAGCCATTATTTCATAAAAATGTCCAAAGAATTAAAGAAAGATATTTTAGACTTGGTTTAGATTCTCCAATTTTTTGTAAATACATAGAGCTATTACTTTCGCAGACAAAACTGGAAAAAAAAAAACTACCCAATTTGAGTGGCAGTCCTGAAAAAAATTAAAGTTGCAGGTACCAGAACAACTACAAATTATACAAATTTAATTATTTGTAGAATACAAGAATTCGGTAACTTCTGCTAATATACAAAGTCTCACTGTCTTATAAGCAAAAATAACCATCAGAAAAAGGACCAACCTGATTTAGTAAGAAAGAACACATTAAGAAATTCCCAAGGCTGGGCATGGTGGCTCATGCCTGTAATCCCAGCACTCTGGAAGGCCGAGGCAGGCGGAATGCTTGAGCCAAATGCTTGAGCCCAGAAGTTCGAGACCAGCCTGGGTAACTTGGTGAGACAGTCTCTGGGAGGGGGAAAAAAAAATTTGCCGGGCATGGTGGTGTGTGCCTGTGGCCCCAAACACTTGAAGGCTGAGATGGGAGGATCGTTTGAGCCTGGGAGGCAGAGGGTGCAGTGAGCTGAGATTGTGCCACTGCACTTAGTCTGGGTGACAGAACGAGACTCTGCCTCAAAACAAAAACAAAAACAAAAACAAAAACAAAAAACCCATGACTTATAAGGCATATAATTATATCTCAATAAGGTGGATTTTAAAAAGAAATTCTCCAGAGACAGATCAGCAGTGACACCTCCTTGGGCTCTGGAGCAGTGCTCTCCTGCTTTCTGTACATCAGAAATCCCACCCGTGTCTTGCCTCACCGGTGGAACCCCCACCCTTCAGCTTTCTTACAAGAGTTAAGAAAATGCCATACCTAGCAAGCCAGAACGCTGTTGGGTGGCATAATAGCCTCTCAGTTGGCAAAGACTCTATCTTCTTTAAAAGCATCCTACCCATCACAGCACCCTGCAATCCCACTCCTGAGTATACACCCTGGAGACCAGAAGTCACAGAGCCACTCAAAAACTCTCACACAATGTTTACAGTGGTACTAGTAACAGTCAAAAGGTGGAAAAAACCCAAATGTCCATCATTGATCAATGGGCAAACAAAATGTAGACTAGCTATACAATTGAGTCATAAAAAGGAACGACGTACACAGTGATACGTGCTACAAGGATGAAGCCTCCAAGCATGCTAGGTCAAAGAAGTCACATAGGCAGCCCACAGATCGTATGATCCCATTTATGCAAAATGTACAGAATGGGCAAATTCATAGAGACAAAGTAAATGATGGTTGCCAGCGCCTGGGGGGACGAGGGCATGAGGAGTGACTGCTATGGTACAAGGTGTCGTTTTGGGGTGATTAAAATGTTCTAAAGTTAGATAGTGGTGATAGGTGCAAATCTCTGTAAATATACTAAAAACCACTGCACTGTATACTTTTTAAAAGGTTGAATTTTATGGTACGTAATTACATCTCAATAAAGCTATTATTTTTAAAGTATTCTATATGTAAGTGTATATACATATATAAATATGCAAACACACAATACATTTTATGCTAATCCCGAGATTGACATAGTTTTATATCTACTTGTTTTTTAGGATTCTGAAGTATTAACATAGGTAAGAACATACTGGAATATCACAAAAACTAGTTTGATAGTAACTGATATATTCTAAAAATTTAAACCTGAAGCTGTTGAATCAGCAACTTTAAAGTCCTAGAAACAGTGGCAATCTGCTCTCTCCTGAGTAAGCTTAACTCTAATTTCAATGTCATATTTGTATAGAATCAAGAAAACCTCCAAATTAGCTGGTGCATCTCCAACCACATGAATAGCGGGAGCTGCATCTCCTCCACCCTCATCACCTTTGTAGCACACAGCACAGTCCCCCATGCACATCATGGACCAAAAACAAAAGGAATAAAATTCTTTTTAGATATTGTACTTTAAAAAATAGGGCCATAGCCTGGGCAACATAGTAAGAATGTCTCTATAAACGATAAAAAAAATTGGCCAGGTGTGGTAGTACGTGTCTGTGGTCCCAGCTACTTGGGAGGCTGAGATGGGAGGACTGGTTGAGCCCAGGCAGTTGAGGTTGCAGTGAGCTGTGATCACACCACTGCACTCCAGCCTCGGTGACAGAGCGAGACCTTGTCTCAAACACACACAAAAATAGGGCCATAACAGGAAAACTTTTGCTCGATGTTCTATCCCTATGATCAGGTCAACGAAATTTTCCTGTAAAAGGGCAGGTAGTAAATATTTTAGGCTTCATGGACAAAACTGTTCCTGACACAACTACTTAACTCTGTTCTCATAACACAAAGCAGTCACAGACAACGTATAAACAAACGGACAGTAAAACGAACGATCTGCTGAGAACCTCAGGACCTTGCTTTGGACCAGAGTTGCCCAACGGAACCTTCTACAATGACAGAAATGTTTTATTTACTCAACACACAGCTAGTGTGCCTAAGGAACTGAACCTTTAAAATATTTCAAATGTAAACAGCCACGTGTGCCCAGTGGTGACTGTACTGCCCAGCACTGCATTTGACTAAAAATGAACCAGTTCTACTCTGTTCAAAAACTTAAGGCTAAAAATGAACCCTGTGATTATTTTACAAGATGAACAGGGAGGAGAAAACAATATAAAATTCTAATAATTCATAAGTCTTACTAGTAAATAATCAAAACTCTAAGCAAATCAACCTGCACTAGGCAGGAGGATACGTGTAGAGCTCCATATATCTGGACTTGGCCATGCTCTGCCGCGTGTACACCTGCTGGATGCCGGCTCTGAGGTCGTCCCAGATCTGGTCTAGGCCAATCTGCTTCAGGCCATGGGGGTTCTGGCTCCGGGTTGACGACATTGTGAGGGATGTTCTAAAGTCGTCCAGTGCAGCAATCCTTATTCAAAGTACAGCTAGTTCTCCATTAGATGAAAATACACAGTACCATTCCAAATTTATTCACAGCAGCTCAGAAAGGATGTCCTTTAAATGTAGAGAATGAAATCTCATTGCAGGCAAACCTGAGGAAGAAATAAAGAGAATTAGTGGATTGTCTCTGGGGTACTGTAATAGGGTGAAACACACTGACAGAAACACTCAGTCTGCAGGCATTAGCAGGGCCCAGTCTAATCCAGAGACCATTTCTCTATGTGGAAACACATTCATGTTAATTATATGGTCTGTGTACAAAAATATGCTTATTTAGTTCAAAATCATTACGATATTAGCACTCAAGAGAAAAGCTGGATAAAAATTTGCACAAGCACAACTAACTCTGTTGCCTTTCTCTGCCTTCTAAAGTTATCAAAAAAAATATATCATTTGACCTAGATGACAATTAGAAAGACAAACTCAAAGAAAAAAGGGCAAAGGATATGCTCAGGAAATTCCCAGGAACACAAACAGCTAATAAATAGGAAAAATCATTCAATCTCACGGGTTACCTAGGACTTTTAGTAACTTTTCTCTTAGAATTCAGCGAGAATGCAAATGTTGGTGAGGCTGAAAATGAAAGGAAATAAGCACTCCCTTTTTAAGGAGGGAATCTGGCAAGAATTATCAAGATTTAAAATGTACTCCTGGGCAAAGGATATGAACAGACATTTCTCAAAAGAAGACATTCATACAGCCAACAGACACATGAAAAAATGCTCATCATCACTGGCCATCAGAGAAATGCAAATCAAAACCACAATGAGATACCATCTCACACCAGTTAGAATGGCAATCATTAAAAAGTCAGGAAACAACAGGTGCTGGAGAAGATGTGGAGAAATAGGAACACTTTTACACTGTTGGTGGGATTGTAAACTAGTTCAACCATTATGGAAAACAGTATGGCGATTCCTCAAGGATCTAGAACTAGATGTACCATATGACCCAGCCATCCCATTACTGGGTATATACCCAAAGGATTATAAATCATGCTGCTATAAAGACACATGCACACGTATGTTTACTGCGGCACTATTCACAATAGCAAAGACTTGGAATCAACCCAAATGTCCATCAGTGACAGACTGGATTAAGAAAATGTGGCACATATACACCATGGAATACTATGCAGCCATAAAAAAGGATGAGTTTGTGTCCTTTGTAGGGACATGGATGCAGCTGGAAACCATCATTCTTAGCAAACTATCACAAGAACAGAAAACCAAACACCGCATGTTCTCACTCATAGGTGGGAACTGAACAATGAGATCACTTGGACTTGGGAAGGGGAACATCATACACCGGAGCCTATCATGGGGAGGGGGGAGGGGGGAGGGATTGCACTGGGAGTTATACCTGATGTAAATGACGAGTTGATGGGTGCTGACGACTTGATGGGTGCAGCACAGCAACATGGCACAAGTATACATATGTAACAAACCTGCATGTTATGCACATGTACCCTAGAACTTAAAATAAAATAAAATAAAATAAAAAAATAAAATAAAATAAAATAAAATGTACTCCGAATTCAGAGAGACCTGAGTTTGAAGCTCAGTGCCACACCTACTAGGTAGGTACATGCAGTACTGGATGAATTTCTTAACCTCTCTAAGCTTTAATTTCCTAATCTGTAAAATGGAGGCCAATTACTTTCCTCAAATGGATGTTGTAGAGTGTAAATAAGATAATGTGTAAGAAACTACTTAACACAGAGTAAATGCTTAACACATGGTAGTGGCTACTATTTCTAAGGATACGAAGCTAATGCCAAATACAATATATAATGCTTCAGCATCTTAGACTCATAAGTAAAGTAACTTAGGTATTCAATATTGTATCAAACCAGTACTTCTCAACGCATAACATCACAGACATAATTTAAGGACTACCTATGAGTATCACATCAAAACATAAAGGTTTTAAATAGGTATTTCCATTGTAAATGAAGAAACACTGAATTAGTTTAATGGTTTCATAAAACAAATGTTATTGGGAAGTAAACGAGATCTGGAACAATGAGGCTAGGTTAGTGAAGCCTGCAAACCTATGTCTGAGTTACCTTGTCAAGTAATTCAGCTCATCCTATATCCTCAATGGCATTGCAGAGCTCTGCGTGATCTAAGGCACATTTAGGGACCCTGTGAGGTCATGCTTAAGGAGTAAGTCTGAACCACTGAAACCCATTCTCTAATTAATTTATTTATATTCTGGGCTGTGGGTCTTAATATTTTATAAATCTACAACACCATTCCTGATCCTGAAAGCATTTTATGTCTTACATTCAAATTGGTATGTTCAAATGTGGAATATAAAAGTATCTAACACAAGGACTCTCTCAAGTTTTAAGAAACTGACAACTCAGCAACCACTCTGGAAATGTTTCCTGTGTGTAGTTTCCATGTGCTTTCCTTTCATCATCTACTTTGGGAGGGTCAATAGCACACTTAATAATAATAAGCATGTTTTGGACTGGTGGTGCCATCTGATAGCATCAACTGTTTGGACCTACCCTACTTTCCCCATCACTTAATTTTTTCCTAAGGGGAAATAATCACTTAAATTCCCCAAACTCATAGTTCAGTTAATTCCATCTTGGATGATCTTTCTCATACCTCTCTAGATGCTCTTTTACTCCTTTTCCTTTTACTTGTCTTATAATTGCTATCAGCAACTGAAAAAAAAAGTTCTACTCTGCCCCCCAAATGCCTTTCTCCATCAGCCTTGTCTGTGTCAGTGAGTGGCAACACCACATGTATCCACAAGTCAGAAACCTGGGAATGAGTCTGATGCCACAGCCCTCACCTTTCACACTCAAGTGCTACGAACTTCACTTCAAATCCATTCGCTCATCTCCACTTCCTCCTCTAGTAATCATCGCCATCTCTTACCTGGGCCACTATTTTAATTGTCTAAACTAGATTGGAATACCTTGTGTCTGCTTGTGTCATTCTTGACATGGCAGTCAGCTGTCTAAAATCCCTGTCATCCTAAGACGGTGTCATCCTAATTCTGAATAGGCTGTCACCCTAAGAGCAACAGGAAGCCAAGGCAGAGTTTGAAGAAGGGAAATCCTTAATATGGCACTATCAGATCCTTTTCTCTCTCTTTATTTGCCTCTTACAAAACCTCAACTCTCCCCCTCCCTCCCCTCAGGTTCAGCCGTACGGATGTCCCTTCCCTGGCCATGCCAGTCTCCTTTCCCCACCAGAGGATCTCTGCATCTGCTGCTGCCTCTGCCTAGACAGTTCTAGAAAGTTCCTCCCCTTCTTCAAGTTGCCTTCCAGTCATACTTTCAAAGGAGCCTTACTAGGAAGTCCCAGAAGATGTTCAGGTTTGCCTTTAAATGGGATTTTCCCTTCTTAACACTTACTCCGGGCCATAATCCTGCACTGGTTTCTGTACTGTAACTCCCTCACTTCACTGGGGTGCAAGCCCCACAGGCTCGTGAGAACCTCATACGGAGCCTGGCATGCCACTCAATAAATATTTTACATAAATAAATGAAGGAATAAATTAGGGAATTGAAAAGCTATATGTCTTAAGAAGATTTAGGAATAAAAGACCAGTATCATCAAGCATCAGAACTTGCTCAAAATCCCTCTTTAGAATCTCTACAAAATTCTATCTCGTTTCTTCTAAACTTTTTCCTTCAAATATTGGATTTTAGGCTAAAATTTATGTCTTGCTGTTTCATTTAGTCATGTTTTACATTATTTTGGTCATTGCAAATATATACATATCCCAACACAGTGTTTAAACAGGCTTATGAAAATCACAGAATTTTAGTGACTACTTAGTTTTAATGTTTAGTAGGAAGCTACCATATGTCAGGCACCGTCCTAGGCATTATTTACTCTTAACGGTAAACAGACATGGTCTACGCTCATAATGCTACACTGACGGAATAAAGCGTGCTTATTCATTTATTTATTTTTAAATAGGGTATCACTCTGTTGCTCAGTCTGGAGTGCAGTGGCATGATCACAGCTCACTGCAGCCTCAACTCCCTGGGCTCAGGTGATCCTCCCACCTCAGCCTCTCAAATAGCTGAGACTACAGGTTAGGACAACCATGCCTGGCTAATTTTTATTATTTATTTTTTTAAATTTTTTTTGTAGAGATGGGGTTTCGCCATGTTGCCCAGGTTGGTCTTGAACTCCTGAGCTCAAGCAATCCTCCTGCCTCAGCCTCCCAAAGTGCTGGGACTACAGGTGTGAGCCATGGGGCGCCCAGCCAAGTATACTTCTTTCTAAGATGCTGACACATAACTTTTGGTATATAACCTACTTGTAAATCAGAAACTTTATGTGCTATGCATTTGTGTACCAAAAGCATTTGTTCTTAAGAGCCAAATATAATCACTGGCAATTAGAGGTTAACCTTAATGATAGTTCTGACCCTTCCTCTTCAGTAGAAGAAACTAATTCAAAGAAGCAATCAAACTTGGCAAGCTCCTACTGCTACAAAGTAGCAGGACCACAAACTAATACACTGTAGTCTGAATTTTAGGTTCTTCCATTTTTAGGGTGTCGAAACAGTGAAACTACTGTAAGTCATAGGAAAAAACAACCAATTGCCTATCTGTTAAATGAGGAAACCTCAACATCTCCAATTAAAAGAGCTGATAGCTTTAAAGAGTTAGTAAGTCAGTCCTAATTGCATCAGCATTAAATCTACTCAAATATTTTGAAATTTAAGAAAGCCCACTGTTTTTTGTTTTTTGTTTTTTATTTAAAGCCTGACTTTTGAAAAACTAAGATAAACTCTGCAACGATCAGGACAATTTGAAAGATAAAGTCAAGATACCAGCAACCCTCTAGCAAAGTTAAAATATACCAAATAAAATGGTCAATGTGGATTTTTCATAACACCTCCATTCTCCTATCTCAGCATAAGCACATCAAATATGTTCTTTACATATTCTCTATCCTTTGTATACATTTCTGATTCCAATTATGAATCTTACTCTGTTAAAACTCACTGATAATCTATGAGATCAAATACAACTTCTCATGTCACACTGTCAAGTTTACTTGCTGTACACTTTTTGTGTCCAGGTCTACGCACGGGAACTTTATGCCAC